TTTTTGAGAGAGAAAGAGAGCTGGCAAGCAAAGGAGGGGCAGAGAGAGAGGGAGACAGAGGATCTGAAACAGGCTCCGTGCTGTCAGTGCAGAGCCCAACACAGGGCTTGAACCCATGAAGCATGAGATCATGACCTGAGCTGAAGTCAGATGCCCAACTGACTGAGCAACCCAGGCACCCCAAGATGTATTTGTTTTTAAAAGGGGTAGTTATCAGGGGCGCCTGGGTGGCGCAGTCGGTTAAGCATCCGACTTCAGCCAGGTCACGATCTCGCGGTCCGTGAGTTAGAGCCCTGCGTCAGGCTCTGGGCTGATGGCTCGGAGCCTGGAGCCTGCTTCCGATTCTGTGTCTCCCTCTCTCTCTGCCCCTCCCCCGTTCATGCTCTGTCTCTCTCTGTCCCAAAAATAAAAAATAAAAAAAAAAAAACGTTGAAAAAAAAAAGGGGGTAGTTATCAATATAAATAAATCTCAAATTTAATGGAATGTGTCAGAGGGTGAGTAACAAAGAAGAATCCGTTTTAATAATCAATCCATTTTAATAATCTATACTCCATTTACGAAAAGTTAGAGGCTTGTGATCTAGTGAAAACCAAAAATATTGGTAAGCACAGGATAATTTAAAGGGAGAGAGGTATTTTAGTCAAATAGCAACAAGGCAACACAAGAATATTTTTAAAATCTAAGCCTGTTTTGTTACTAAGTTTTTAAGCCCTTGCTCATTTTATTTAACAGCTCTTTCTTTTCCCCAAGGCACCATTTTTATTTGATACATTAAAGAAAAAAAGTTAACCTAGCTTTGGCTTCCTTTAAAATAAATAGAATTTTGACTTTGCCTTTCATTTGCTTTTGAGTGTGATTTTACATGAGGAAAGTAATTCACTATCAAAAGGGTAATTTGATTTTGTCTTCATTCTGAGAAGATGTTCCTAAAGTAATTCATATTCTTGAAATTTTTCCACTTTACATGTGATATATTTATGTCTTTATTTATACTTTACATGTGATATATTTATGTCAGGAATTTTTTTTTTTTTAACGTGGTTTAAAATCTTGCATATAAAGCTGCTCTGAGTTAGTCCTTTTTTTTTTTTTTTACTGGGGCAAAGCAGTGAGAATTAACGTAGATGATTTTGAAGTGTTAGCGAATAACAGAGGAATTCCAGATGGCTATCTTGAAGCCCTAAGATTGTTGAAGCTCTGGGTCTGGCCTTGAGGAGACAGTAGCCAGCAAATGTTGAGTTTCATACTCCCATATCTCAGAGGAAAGCCTAATGGTTGACATTTGGAGTCTGGCAGGCCCTGTGTAGTTTGCTCTGACCTGCAGTTACCCCAATATACGGAGCTTGAAGTAGTTTCAAGACTGATAAAGGGATTCAGGTTTTCTGGATAG